TACCCATTTAAGCCGTCTCCAGCCATTATTAGTCTCAAAGTGGGTTCCTCGTCATCGAATTTTCACTTATAGTTTGTTTGATGTTTTATTTTCCTTTCCTATTCTTTATCGTTGATTATTTATGTCAACACATCAGTGGGTACCCTTGGTTGATAGAACATTATGAACAGTAGAGATAGATACCTTAGCATATGGCAGAATCTATTGATTTGAGCTTGGTAATGTTAGCCTTGCAGAATGAGGAGAAGCTTTGGTTATTTTATAAAAATTATTAAACCTTTCAAATATGAATTTTAAAATACAAAGAATGCATAATTAACTAACAAATAAAAGTAAAACATAAGTACAATTTAACTGTCTCTGTAACCATAAGATATTTAGACAAGAAACAACAGAAGCAGCCAACAATGGTACAAGCAGTTACATCTACCAGAGTGCCAATTTCAAAGTAACCATTGTTGGATTATAATGTAAAAATGAACTCTTTCTAATAACTCTAAACACGTACATATAACTTTTGAAGTTCAACATGTTGGTGGGCATGGCACATGTCTGAGGTTGACAAAATTTACTTCTTATTTCTACTGCATTCAGTGATAGTACGTTGAAACATGCATGTCAGGAGGTCAAGTAAACTACATTCTTGTCTAGGCTTACTTGTACGTGACTACCCCTCATGCTTCAAGCTCTAAACTTACTTGTACGTGACTACCCCTCGTGCTTCAAGCTCTAAACTTACTTGTACGTGACTACCCCTCGTGCTTCAAGCTCTAAACTTACTTGTACGTGACTACCCCTCGTGCTTCAAGCTCTAAACTTACTTGTACGTGACTACCCCTCGTGCTTCAAGCTCTAAACTTACTTGTATGTGACTACCCCTTGTGCTTTAAGCTCTAACTTACTTGTACGTGACTACCCCTCGTGCTTCAAGCTCTAAACTTACTTGTACGTGACTACCCCTCGTGCTTCAAGCTATACTTTACCAAATTTGAACATCGTTTATAGCCCATGTGACACAAAACTGAGAGATTTCATTATTGCTTTCAATGTTTCTTTTGAAATAAAGGAATAAAAACTAAGACAATGTAAAATTTTGAACTGTAATGAACTGTAATAATAATTTCATTAGAATACATTGATATTAAAGTGGTTTAATTAAGTTTTGAATATAACTCAGTAACATGTGCAGAAAGGTTTTTAAAAATGGCATTATCATTATAGGATTGTAACAATTACTAAAATGTAAGGGAGATGTTGCAATGTGGTGTTTACTCAGCATCCATCTCATAATTATCAAAGTTTTAATTTCTGAAGTACTGACTTACAGACAAGGAATATGTATCATTAGTATTAAATGATGCTGGTATTTTTATTGATTTATTAAATGTTTTTGTTATTTTGGTAGCTTTTTATGATAAGTGTATCTAATGGATCTGCATGGTACAGTGTTAATATTAGTTTTAACTATGCAGTTGTGTATGTATGTGTGTGGTTTAGACCATGAATATCCTTGTTATAGTTTTATAAATACTACGTTTGTTGATATTTCTGTTTTTAGAAGAATACAAAATGACTTTTCTCTGTTATGTTTTTTTCATAATGGTTGTAGAGCTAGAACATTTTTTTTTCTTCAGTATTTCTGTTGTATAGAATCTAAACACTTGATTTAAATAGTGTTCTAGAAAACAAATTATTTATTTTGTGAATTGATATTCAAATGCAATTAAACAAAGCATTATCTTATTCTTAGGCATGCAGTGGGAAATTTCACCCGATTTATCAGTGGTTTTATTTTGATGCCCTTGAATGTTTACCCGAAGATCAGACTGTTTCAGAGGAATCGGCAAAGCCTGTAAGTTCTTCAGTTTCTTAGTTAAGTGTTTGATTATATCAAACAATCAAAGATATTTTGAGTCTTCTTCTGTTCAAACAGTTTTTGAAGAGTTTAACATTTCACTGGATTGTGTGAATTATTGGATTGTGTTTAAATTTTTTATCACAGTTTTTGTCCTAATCTAGATTAATATATGAAGCATTTCTTATTAAAATAAAAACAAATTATACTTTGTTGAACAAGAATCATTAGAAAAATTCTACATATACAGAAAAATAACTCTGTTAAACAGCGTAGGTGTGCCTTCTTTGAAAGATTTTTGTATGACTAACACATTTTTATCTTTGACATATGTATGTAGAAAAGAGTATAATTGTTGTTTTTATTACTTGCACTGACCTTTTGAACCAAAGCTACTAAAGAACATTAATTTTAAATACTTAGATCCAAATTGTGGGAGGGAAAAGATTCCATGATTTTATTGGTTAATTTTTAAATTAATTTTCACTCGTATTTGATATTGTGGAATCTTGTAAACTTGTAATTACACTCTGGTTTCATTACAGTTGCAATGCAAATGTATTTTATTAGAATGTTTGTAGAATTAAAAAAAGGGGCAAATTTTTATACATGTATTTTGTTTAATTTGGTAACTATTTCATTCTCGAATAATAGTTTGGATTGGTGTTTGGCCTGTTATAATGATTTGTATTACTGGAACTACAAAACTTACACAAACACCAAAAATTGAAAAAAACTTTTGATGATCAAGAACTTAAAACTAAAATCTTTACAAATTAACATACTTGCAAAATCTATAGCAATATTGAAATTAAATATGCAGGACCTAAACAGTAATCAATTTGCACTGTTACATATACTGTAAAAATTCCCATTTTTCAATGGTTTAAATGTTGTACATCTTACTCAAGGCATCTATATCCATTATTATTGTCACTTTACTTTATGAAGGAGAGAAAATTTCTTACTGGCATCTACATTGTCTAAAGCATTGGCCACTCCGTTCAAGGACTCAAAAAAGTCATCATCATACACTTTCTCTGTATCTGGACCAACTCGGTTTTGATGTGGAGTCACATGAATGTCAGGATTCATCTTCTTTACAACCTCAGAAGCAACTTCAGACTTTAGCTTCTGCTCATGAAAAATTAGCAATATATCAAACAAGTTATAATTTTAATCATAAAATTAACTTTGTATCTAATACAACTTCACACAATATATAGTGTGGGTTGAACTTGAATCATCGTTTACTCTTATTACAAATGATACAGATAATGTATTCCTTTTGTTATGTGTGTGTGTGTATGCTAACAGTGTTCAAAAATGCTTTCATAATTTGGTTCAAGTATTGCATTAATCACCACAGCCCATTATTCCAATTTAATGTATATTTTGGAGTTACTCACTCTAAAGTACATGCCCAAAACATTTTTTGGACTTCTGCAGTCTTATCATCTTGTGCATGATGTAAAATATTTTTAGTTGATGATTCATGGGAACACATCTTTGCTCCGGTGATGACTTGGCTACGAGTAAAACTCTCTTGTAATAAACAATTAAACACTTTTTTCAAAATCTGGGATTCCTAATAAGGCACATGACAGTAAACAAAAACTGGTGGCACAATATTAAATATTATCCAAACTTCTCAATAACATACTAGAAACTTAAAAAACATAACTCTGAATGTCCTCAACCAGGATTTATAAAACGACTTTCTTCAATGCTGCAGACAAATCAACAAAATTAATACAAATGATGATACATGCTAACAAACTATTCAGTGACCAAAATATTTTTTAAGAAAAATAAAGATTCAGATTAACTTTTGAACAGTAAACTAAATTTCAAGTTGGTGAAAGTGTAAAAAGTTACCACATTTACTGCTACCAAAAAGCCTATTACTGCATTACAATGCTAATTTTTTATCAAGTGTAAGACTATGTCAAATATTAATAAATAAATTTTGGACAGGTACTTACGCCTACATCCCACGGCCTGAAGAGAAACTGTCGGTTAAGGTTTGATTTTTCAATGATGTCCATGTCAGTAATATAAATCATACCAGCATCACTTGAAGCTATCCCCATCATTGCAAAGTTTTTCATTAACTCACAGCCAATGGCACCAGCCCCAACCTGAAAGAAATATAATGTCTGGGTTCAAAACTGTTCTTAAAGAAATATTTCTTTCTGTGGAGTCATATTTCAATTATTTTAAGATTCACGATCACTGGTCAAGTTGATATACACAGAAAATACATAGCCATGTTAGAATAAAAAAAAGCATATTTTTTCACTGTGAAGTGATATGCCAAAAGCCAGATCATGCAATTTTCTCATCATTAATGTAACCCTCACTTAATTTTGATCGATTACCACTAAGTAATATAGCAATAACGTATATATCCAAAGATTTTAATATTAATTGAAAAGTGGAATAACACGTTTGCTGCTTCAAGAAGAGTTAAATAAATCGTGAAACAAATTTATATAATCAAGAAATATTAACTTACTACAAAGATCTTCAACGAAGCAAGCTTATTTTGAAACTCTTCACCAAAAACTGCTACCTGGGAATCGTATCTGCTATTTTTCTGAAAGTACAAACATTCTACATGTAAGACTTTAGGAGAAAGAGTTATATGTAAAAACAAAACATGGGTCCTCTTTGTGACTTCAAACAATTAAACAATTTATGCTAAACAAGTGAAGAGAAACTTAACGAAAAATTAAACACTTTTTTAACTCAAATTTTGGTAAGCATTATGGAATACTTTGATAACTTTTGAAAAACAGAATACATATTTCAGTTCCTCAACATATTTTTCAAAGCCGTTATAGCTGTGAAACTACCAAATAAACACTGGCAAAACATTTTTAAACTTTGTTTATTGAGTTAAAGTTTTAAATCTCCTCTATATAGTTTTATAGTAGATGACAAGCCCTACTTTAATAACAATTACAGTCCAAAGTTTGCTTTGATTATCCTTGGTTAAAAAAAGCATTATTTCAAAGTTTATAAAAAAAATTTCAAGATTCATCCAATTAAAATAGGTTTATAAACAAGAAAATTTGTTTTATAGTGTTGAAGGTACTTGAGAAGTGTTTTGACATGAGTATTTATGTAAAGTCTATGTCAGTGTTTTGTATATGGGCTGGGATTCTTTTACAGTAGGTGTCTGTGACTTGTTGGCAATAAAATCGAACAATAAACGAACAACACACAATCCACTTGTTTTAAAATAGTATACTCAAACAAGTTAAATGTATGTACAAAAATTCTTTACATTATAAGATATCACAGTTGTGTCTGAAACTCAATTTTCTTGTGAGAAGTCCACACAGACAAGTTGTTACTTTAGAATCCAACTGACAAGATGAATTTATTTTTCTCTCTACTCCGTTTCTTACTGTACAATCTGCAATAAATTCACTTACGTTACCCTGTGTGTTACCACAGTTGTATCTAGAACTTTAAAAAAAATTGTCTCCTTTTCATCAAAGTCCACACAGGCAGGTTGAAAAGATGAATTATTCTCCTTATATCTACTAAACTGTCAAATTCGCTTTAAAATATTGCTTCTTACAGCTAAACTAACAATCACAGTCTAACTTCACTTTCACTAACTTTATGTTTAGCTTCTTGGTTACCACAGCTGTATCTAGAGCTTTAAATACTTTTTTTTTCTCTCTTCAAAAGTCCATGCAAGCTGGTTCAGCTACTTTAGAACTCAATTGACAAGACAAATTATTTTTCCTATTTCTGTTGTTACAATACAGCTGTAAAATTTACTAGAAATCACCCATTAAGGCCACATACTTGTTAACTTTACGTTTGCTTTTCTTAAATAAGTAACTTTTCTTTATTGAACCTCACTTTTTCTACAAACTACGAGATGTTATGATGTAACAATACTTACTTAAGGTATCGAGAAAAATACAGAAGGTTTGAGTAATGTGACGTCAACAATATTACTAAAGCCTAGTATAACTATCAAATTGTGTACATAACGTACGACTCGTACCAAGTTATGGTCACAACTATTGCTTTTAAAATAATTAAGTTTAAATGCTCTTGTTATGAACACTAATTAATCATTAAATATTAAATCACTAAATAAAAACTCTCGAACTAAACAGTCTTGTATATCCAACAGTCTAGACCTGAGTTTGACATGTTCAACTAGTTTGTATGTATCTGACTAACTTATGTCAAATTTGAAGTTAAATTACTTCTTTTATCTTTATAATATAAATATACAGATAAATTTGGCAAATTGATCTGAGTGTTTCAAACATAGAAATCCAATATAGTGCCCCCCCTCCTTAATAGGTCTTTGTGCCATATTTTAATTAATTTGGTGTAAAGTAACTTATTAATTGATATGTGTAGTGTAATATCAAATACATTCATGATTGCTTTCAGGAATATACATGGATAGAAGGTGTGTATTCTATCGCAAGCCTCTGCTTGAGTCTGGAACTCTTGGAACCAAAGGGAATGTTCAAGTAAGAAAGAACTTTTCAGTTTTTATTTATGTATTTTACAGTTAAAAAAAACTAATGCCATCATCATAAATATCAGTTTAAAAATCTGTAGCAAGCATTCCTAATTTGTACTACACTATATATAGCCATGAGAAAAACATTGCTCTACAAACCTCAAGACTTAATAACAAAATTTGATATTTTGCATTTGAAAGCATTCTAATGTGCCAAATTTCGACGCTTACTAATTTAAAAGTTATAGCATGAAAACTATAACAAGCACAAAATGGTTACGAGGTGAAAGAGTTAATAACTCGTTTAATTGCAATTCTTAGAACGTAATGTGTCTTTTGAAATGCATAAGTTGTAGTGAATTATATATTGGTGAAAAGACAATTTAAGATTAAGGAAAATTTACAAAAATTCCTTGTTAGATGTCCCAAAAATGCCCAATGTATTCCAGTTAACATTTTAACCCTACCGTTATGGGTTGGGTAAGATCCACCCAGTTCGTAACCATGAAAGTAATTATACTG